ACACCCCCACACACCACATACCCATACACCAACAGCCCCCCACAAACCTCTACCCACCCCCCCATGCACCCCACAATATACAAGAGTAAGAGTTCATTTTAAGCTATTGCTTAAAGGTGTGCAATCACCTTTATGTACACTACACAAACTTGTAAATCAGGACAAATATTTTCTTAAATTAATTTTTTAATGAATGTTGTAGATGTTCAATTTTTAGTATATAATTTAGTATTTTTCTGGTTCTGAGATGGCAAAACCCCTCACTGAAAGGCATACTCCTGGGGGCAAGGGGAAGGAATTCTGGTGGCAAAGGTTGGGGGTTATGGGGCGGGACTTCTGGTCACAAGATGGTGCTAGGGGGTGGGGTATCTGTCAAGGGGCGGGGCTACCGATCCAGCCCTCAACAGCTTGCCAAAACTCAGTAAGCGGCCCTCCACCCAAAATTACTGCCTGCCCCTGCTACAGATGCTTCCTAGCAGGGACATTTCCTGGTGTCCTCCTTGTTCAGAGTGCAGGAAACAGAAGCTGAATTTCACCAGTGACCAGGGATTTCACCTACCTGATCTTCCTTACTCCTTGAGCTTGCAGCATTTAACTTTAGCTACAGTACCAACATACCACTTCTCTTTCATTTACCTGTGACTCTCATTTTTTCCATTGTTTCTTTGCTCTTTTCTCATCCCCTCTCCACCTTATTAAAAAACCACCAAAAAACTTATGTAAACAATATTTTTAGAATTCTTATCTTCCTCCACAGCTGTTTGCTGCTCTTTCATTGTGTCAAATCTAAACCTAGAGTGTCACAACAGGGCTATACATTATTTATTATGTAAAGCATCAGGCCCACTTTAATACCCAGTTAAAATATACTCTCAACCTTTATAAATAATCCACTCAGGGACAAAATAAACAGAAACAGACACATTTTAAATAAAGATTAATTTCAAAAAGAGAGACTCTTCTATGTTATATAAATATGATTTTGCCTCTGGATTTATGTTGCTGATTTTAGAATGACTTACTGAGATTCAGAAAGAGTGAAAAAGCGGGATGAGATGAAAGTGAAGGAAAAAAAAAAGAATGTCTAAAGTCACACTACACTGTCATCCGAAATTATTTTGATATGAATAGTTAGTTGGTTACAGCATGTGCAGAAAGATCAGGTACATTCATAGGAGGGAATATTCACGCATAACGTTGCAAGTGATACCCAAAATCTGACATTTTAACAAAGGATGATATGATCATTCATTTTCTCATCCAAAACTCAGTAAAATTCAACAGAAATTGGATCCAATCATCTGGGCCAAATTCTAATACCAGATGAATGTATGTATGTTACAACAGAAAGAGTTCCACTGAATCAGAAAGGTTATTCAACTTAACCACACATGATATAGTGATTATAGTACGTGACAGCTAATACAACAAATTATATAATCAACCTGCAAACAGATTTCATTAAACAAATTACTGCTTCTACAAGAAACAGGATGCCAGCAAACAGTGGGATTCAATAATGAAAAAGCTAAACCAAAAAGTAAAATTTAAGTGAAAATCTTAAGTTAAAGACCTTCACTTCTGGACTGTGGAAGCAGTATCTAGAGAACGAGCTCTTTGCCAATAATGGCCAGACACAGGTGCTGCAGAATTAATTCCAAAAAAGTAACAGGATTGCAAAAGGACAGAAAGAAAAAAAGGCACAAAAACCCACAACAGAAACCTTGCAAAGATATATCTAAAAGCAAGTTGGTCCCCAATATTTCTCCCTCCACAAGTGTGATGAAGTTAACTTATTTCTGACCATTTTCCGTTGATTTTTAATTCTTATTTAAAAATTTAAAACTTGAGTACCTAGATTTAAGAGCAGATTACCCTAATGGTTAGTGAGGAAACCTGAGATAAATTCTGAGATCTTCTCAATAAATGACTTGTCTCTCAATGCCTGAATACAATAGGGATATTTATACTTACCTAAACTGTGTAAAGGAATTTTAGATCCGCAGAAAGGTGCAATATATTATCACAATTTGGTTGTAGACTACATAATTAATCATGTTAGAGATGAAACTACCTGTAGAAATAATATTGTTATCAAAGACTACATCTTGGTATAAAATGTTCAAGCTTGTAAAGTATGTTATAAAAGAATTTCTAGAAAGAGAGTCAGGAGAAAAAAAATAATGATGTTTCTAACATGGGGACAGAATAAGTAAAATAAAGACCCGAAACTTTAGAGAAGTACATTTCAGATAACTGTCCAAACATTCTGTCTTCCAGATCACACAACACTTCAACATCATCATGTGCCAGCTTACAATGCATAAATTGATTATTTTGAAATTTTATAACTCCAATTTCACATTTAGGATAGTTTACATCATTACAATTTGCTGATTTTCTAAAAATCAAGTTACAATTTCATATACTCAGTACAAATACAGATATATCAGTCTTATCCTCCATTTTTTTGTTTCCTCATCATATTTATTCCTGGCTAAATTTTGTTAATTCCTTGCTGTTATAAACACAATTTGAAACTAAGCACAGTCTGAAGCTGTGTAAACAGTCATATAATTCTGCCAATACAAAAATGGAATGATGATTTAATTTAGAGTTTGCCTGAACAGAGATTAAATATATTTCTATTTGTGGCCCTATTAGGATTTTATGCTACTATTTCTGAAATCAAACAAATTTAACTGAGTTCCTCTCTCCCACTGGTTTTAGATTATGATAAAAGAAAAAAACAAGCTCTTTTCCAAACCTTTTCAACTAAGGACTTCAAGCAAGTGAACATTACTTGCTTCAGTAGCAAGTGGAAGTCAAAAGAGGCATAAGGAAAGGACTAAAAGAAGGCTAATAGAAGTAAATCTGAAAAAATTAAGTTTAGGTAAGATTGTTTCGAAATTCAAGTTTTCATGTTAAATAATCCAACACAAAAGTTATCAAAGGTATTTAAGGATACTGTAACCAAATTTAAAGTAGATTTTTAAACTCCACTTTGCCTTCTGACATTGGGCATGTTTCAATGTATGCTTTGTTAAAATTCAGCTTGCTGATTTATTTGCAACAATCAATCAATCATATGAACAATAAATTCAAATTATATTTATTGCTATTGTGAGCGTACAGCTTAATCCAATATCAAGTAATGGAGTTTTTGCTTCTCTGCAGTAGGCATATAAGAACTAGCAGCAAGTAACTGAAATTTGGAATCTGAGCATGTTAACAAATCTCAGCCACTTATCTTCTGTCCCTGCAAAAACTCAAACTCTACATAGTAAGTTATCCATTGACCTTACTTCCAACAGTACTATCCAAACAGAAAGATATGCAAAACAGAAAGCAGAAGATAAGCATCTTTCAGTCCAAGGGTCAGCTATAAGAAATGAAAGAAACTCTTGATTCTTAACTGTACAAAAAGGTCCTTTTTATAAAAACATTCTCTAAAGAAATTCATATTTTTAAAAGGCAATGAAAATTGCTGGAAAAAGCAAGATATTTGTTTGGCTAACTTACCAAGTAGTCTATAATAGACTATTTTAAAATGCAATAGCAAACGTCATTTACAATTATATTGCTAACAATGGATTATATCCACATGCCACAGAAAGTAAATTACATTTCTCTGGGTTATCGGATGTGCCTTAAGACTCCAAGGAGAAACGCTGCAATATTATTTAGACAGAACCTTGTCTACCTATGTCCTTAGGCCAACACAGCTACAACCAACACCTTTCAATATTATTTAAACAGTCATGTAGTAATGCAATGAAGAGGAAATCCTAACTTTGCCATTCAGTACAAATTACACACGTTTTATATAACTATAATTTTATTTGCAAAGTATAGATGTTGACACAGTTGCTTAGGGTACTGTGCAATATAATAATAAAATTCTAACACACTACAATAAGGGAAAACAAAAACATTTAAGTGGTGTCAAGGGTCTGATTTAGACTCACAAAACCAAGTTAAGAAGCTTTCAATTTCAAACAAACTAGATTTATCTATAAAGATGTATTGTGTTCTATTTTAATAGCAGCCTTCCATCTCTTCTCTAAAAAAATACCCACTCCTCTCTGGTGGTATTTTTGACCTCTGCTTTGATGCATCTTAACCTCTTGACTTCATCTGACTACATCTATGCTTCTTGCTACAATGAAATGCTGAAGTTGGAAGTTGCATATAGCAATGGAGAAGAGCAAGTAGGCCAGGCTGCTCTGAAGCAGAGCGGGTTAAAAGGTAACATCTTAAAAGAGTGGACATTTTGTAAATTAGTTTCAGAAAGCAATTTAAAAACAAAGAATATTACCCATAAGCAATGCTTAAATAGCTTTGTGCTATATGACCTTATCTTGATTAGACAAATACTTTTCTCTCTACATATAGTGATTAGTGTCTCCCTTGCCTAATAGATAGCATTTTTAAGAGGTCCTCAGTGGTTTCATTTGTACATAGTGGTGTTAGTGGGGTGTTAAAGAGTGCACACTACAGAAATTACATGACATCTGTTCCATTTTCCTGTATTTAATTATGAATAATAAAGACTTTACAGTCTTTAACCATGGACCGGAATATAGTGTGAAGTAGCTTCTCCAAAGCAGTCATGAAGAAATGGATGTGCTTATTTGTAGTTACTGTCAACTTCCAAAAAAAAAATCCTCATTTGAAAAGCATGATAGAACTTTTAGATTTAAACTTCATATTCTTCCCAAAGTGAAACAAATGTTGTGGTCTATTGTATTTGAAAACATCTCAAGAGTAAGATGGACAAGCAAGCTCAAAGCATAACCAAAAGACTAATACTCTATTTTTAAACAGCAATAAATTAATCTGGACTATTATCTCATTTATGAGCAAATCATAAGATTCTAATGGAAAGCAAAATTCTCACCCATCCTTTGTTTGATCTGCCACTCCTGCCAATAACTGAATTGTTTTAGGATTATAATTAGGTTCTGTATACAGTCCAAGGTATCTTTGCACAAAATCTCCTGGGGTCATGTAACTCTCTCCATCCTTTTCAACACTGGCATACTAGATAAAGAAACAAAATGAAACAAAAGTCATTTAGATACTGATAAGTATGAATGATTATTGGACCCATTGTTAATTATCAGCTTTAAGAAAACACATTCAAAATAAACTGCTTTATGATTAAAGGCTTCTATTAAAACAAACAGTATTGGTAAACTAGACATCTTACGCCAATCAGACTGCATGCAACAAATAATGGATTTACATATAAGCCAACATGCTCTAACAAAAAGTAGGTTATAAATTTGCTTAAACATCTGTGTATTTGTGTAAATTCCCATTTGAAGTTGTGCTGTAAATCAACAAAATTTCAATGCTACATTTTCATTACTACTAAAATAGCAATCAGAAATGCATTCTTAAAAAGCAGATATTAGAGTTGAGGGAAAAATCTCTATTTTATTGGAAATGCAACACTTTCTAAATTCATTTTTGTTCTGGATTGGAAAACAAAGATCTTGACATTTCTTATTCAATAGAATTTTTTTTAAATTTGATTTTGGACAAAATATTCTGCTTTGATTTTTTACTTACATTTTATAATCTGCAGTATAACATTTCTAAATGAAAGAAAAAACAAATGTTCTATTCTGTCAGCATTATTAAAATGTTTTCATCTCTCACCCTTCTTAAAATAAAAAAAATCAACACATTCCTGAAAAAAGTTTATTTAAACAGTATGCTATTGAAAATACTGTTATTTCCCAAATTTGATACGTCATCTATTTGATTAATAATTCTATAAATGTCTTTTCTCAGAAATTATTCATTCATTAATTACCCTTACAACTCTCACAAGAAAACTGCTCCATATCTTAGAATTGACCAGTTACATTTAACACAGTCAAATACTTAGTTTAACCTGTGTGTTAGTGTTATACTTTCACCCCAATAAGAAAGGTCCACAATAACTGTTTTCATATTAGCCCTTATAGTACTTGCACGTACATGAATGGACAGTGTGGGGAACTGCAAGCCAATTTCACAACAATTAGATTATAAATCACTGCAAGGGGATCATTGAAAATATTTGGTTTTGAAAAGCTTGAATTTTGAGCCAAGTTTATTCTGTCAGTAAATATTTCAGCTTATGACACTGTAATGCTTAAATTACATATTTTCAGTCTCTACTTTTTAACACCCATTTGTGCCATTTTGTTAAGAACCCCATCTAAATTTAAAAATCAAATCAAATTAACACCAGTCTATTTTTGCCAAAGGAGAAAAGTTATTGCCAAAAGCTCCATCCAGAAACTGAGCTCCTCAGTGAGATGCCAGAATGAGATGCCGTTCACAACAGGTAAGAGGTACTGAATATGATCATCCATCTTTATGTGCTCTGTATACATGGAAGCTATCAGCCAATATCAGCTGGAAAAACCCTATTGCGATTCTTCTGGAGGATCCGAAGGTTACTTTTGCAACCATAAGAACTTTCATTTAGAAATAATAAATCCTTAGCTTACATTCTGAAACAAAATAGCACCTCAAAAGAGAGTTCCAGCTTACCAGACTGCCAAGAGTCAGGACAACTGGACCAAATGATTTGGATTCCTATGATGTTCCCTTGTTTCACTACAGTTCTTAATCAAATTAATTTCCACACAGAACAAATACCGTATTTCACAAGATCCAAGACTACAAGCTTTTTCAAAAAAAATTAAAAAAAAATCACAGGCATTTCTTGAAAGGTTTGCCAGTGCAGACTCATTCACTTGGATTTATGCCTCCAACAGCAGAAAATTCCAGCACAGAAATTTACTTAACAAGAGCGTTTCTTTCAAGTAATGGTTCTCAGACTTTTTATACCCATGGACCATTGTCAAAGCTCAATATTTTTTTTGTGGACCACCATATCCCCTTACCAGGGAAATGGAATCTTGTGACATCCACTGATGACTTACCATGTGAATCAGTTTAGGAACCACTTGTCTAAGATATGAGTCCGAGGACACTACCTGGTATCTGTCTTTTTTCTGAAAAATCTTTATTTTGATTTTTATGAAATAATTAGTCCAACCTGGCATAACTGGATTTGTAAAGACTTAATTCATAAGCACATAGAGAAATGTAAGGGCTTTTCTCAAGAAAGAAGAAATTGTGTAGGAATCTAAAGTGCAAGATCTATAAACAGGGAGTTCAAACTTTACTAAATTAGTAGCCAAATATGTAGGGGTCCAGGAGCAGATTCTCTAGATTATTGGTGCTCAACCTTTTTCCCTGGCAGGCCAGATAAGCAGTGCCTGGACCATCCACATACCAGATCCAGCCAGTGGTCCCAACTGGGCACCTGGGGCAAGTGCAGCAGGCCCCCCATCTCATTCTGTGGTGTAGGGCAGGGTAAGCTTGGCCTTAACTCAGCCCTGTTTGGAAAGGGGGCTTGACTTTGGCTTAAGGGGGAGGGAAGAAGTGGGCATGGTGGCTCTGATCTGCTGCACAGGGCTTGGGGTTTGGAAATTTGGCAGCAGGGGAGGGCACCTATATTAACTGCCACTGCTCTCCCACCACCAAATTTACCAATCTGTGGGGATCCTCATGGGCCAGATATGATGGCATTTGACCTGCAAGCCAGAAGTTGAGCACCCCTGCTCTAGATTGCACTACAGTTTAAAGTGACAAGCTTAACCTTATTGTCCAGTCTCTATTCCAAGTGCACCAGCAAGATACACTTTTTCATTATCACTTTAATATTTAGAATTATAAAAAAAGTGCTTGCAGAAATAGATAGTGCTCATTCTAAGCAAGGCCTAGCATAATTAACAACACACTAAAACTCCCAGAATGCTTCAAGGAGGTTGAGAAGTCAGCGATTGACATTCTGGTGATCACTATCTGACCTTTGAATAGAAATGCTGACAATATGATAAAAATTGCAAGCAAGCAGCTTATATTGTTAAAACAGGAAACCGCACAGCTAAACCGCAATGACAAAAATAACCGCATATTATGCAAGCAAAGTCTGGTAAATGTTGTAGTTAGGTCATTAAGAATGAACATAAGAAGCGTAAAAATTATAATAAA